ACTGAAGCTATGAATCCAAAAAACGACATGAAAACAACGAAAAACGCTGAAAAATCATCAAAAACCGACTTAAAAGTTAAGAATAATGACGTACAAGACAAGAAACTAAAAAATTCTAATCAAATCAAAAATAATATACAAAAAACTACATCTACAGCTGAAAAAATCAACAAAGGCATTTCAAAGACTACAGACAAACCACACAGAGCTGAAAAAGTTACTTCAAAAACTAAAATGAACAATGTCTTAACTGTTACTGAGAAAAATGCAACAAATTTCACTACTAAAGACAGAATTTCGCATATCAAAGACGAAGGTACCGAAAAATCTACAAACAAGATTATAAAGAAAACTATTACAGCAACAAATCCTACAAATAATAGAAACAGTTTTACGAATAATAAAATAACAAAACCGCCTTTAGCATCGCACAGGCAAAGTTTAAAAAAATCCTTACCTAATGGCAACACTATAGTTTCAAAAGCTAGCAACACAGAAGCTGGGAAAATCTCTAAAATACCTCAGAAGAAATTTTCGCCATTAAGCGAAGGATCATCAAAGAAAAATATGTTAAGAATCAGCCCAAGTAAGTGATATTTTTATTATTATCAACTTAACCAATACAATAGGGTAGATGCCTAATTTTTATTTTAATGTCCGTCTGGTAGATTATTTTAAATCATTAGACACGTATTTTTTATTTTCTTATAGAAACGAACACTTTCGACGACATATTGATTTGAAATGTCGCATGACGTCACTTCTATGTACATTTTATACGTAGAAATGACGTTTTAGCCCCCACTCCTAAACTTTGATTCGTTTTATCTAAGTTTTGTTTTATTATAGGACAAAATAAAAAAATACGTGTCTAATGGTTTTTCATTACCTAACTTACGGACTAATTACATTTTTAATTTTCATACCCTGCCATTATACTAATTGTATGAACCTGAGTAATATAATCTGTTACATAGTACTCAGAACCTACGCCAAGGCCTCGCTAACGATATGGTTAAATGGCGTCAAGTATGCGCTGGCACACTTTTTGCACTACCATGATGCCGAACTAACTCTGGTCTGCGTTCACTTACTATCGAATGCTTCACTCGTACAAAGAGTCCTTTGAAGATATTGATAGTTTCAATTGTCCGGTGGGTAAATTCAAGCGACTTATTCACAAGTCTCTTCTATACACAACAACAGATTTTATTTTGTAAACAATTTTGGCCGCTAGTGATTAATTATTAAATTCTGTAGTTATTACATTCTAATGGCAATCTGTGGACAGTGTTGTGGGTAGCATTATTGCCCAAAATGTATCTTGTGTAAACTATGTAGTTAGTAAGACCACGACCACGTAGTTTATAATGTAACCGTTTACTGTTCCTTTTAATAAAAAACAAACTAAATTCGCTGTGGATCATACAAAGAGGTGTTCCGTGCGGGAATCGAACCGGCGACATATTGCGCGGCAGCTAGTTGCCCAGCCACCGCGCTAACCGTGCCGTCATTTTGTAAACAAGCCTCCATATAATCTCCACTCTCCGGTGATCTAATTACAATCCCCAAGCTAACTCACAAGCGAGGGTATTATGACATAGAGACTAGCATTTGTTCAGTACTGAGTAGCGACGGATAAACCTAAAGAGCAACCTAGGCGAGCACCTCATGGACGCCCCTTTTATTTTTGTCGCCGCCGTCACTCTATGATAACCTGGCGCCCGGCACTTGTCTAGTTTGCCATAAGCTCTAGACAGACGGACCGCATTTCAACTGCAATCCAACCGCTAATTGCAGTTCGGATGCAGTTTGAATGCAGCCGTGTCGTGCAATCGTCATGCATGACCAAGGGATTGCCAACATAACGAGCAGTCTGATTGTAGTTCTATTGCAGTCATGACCAAGCGAGCAGGCCGATTGCAGTTATATTGCAGTCATTACCAAACAGTTGCGAACCAAACGTGAAGTCCGATTGCAGTTCTATTGCAGTCACGACCAAACCGTTGCAAACCAAACGTGCAGTCCAATTGCAGTCCTATTGCAGTCGTGTCAACTGTGTTCTAACGGCATCCGAACTGCAATTTGCAGTTGGATTGCACTTGATTCTACCTTAGGGATAATACAGCTCTGGTACTGAGAATGACGATGACGTCATAATAATAATTGTTTTTATTTTTACAGGAATAAATCCATTAAAACTCAAGATGTTACCTCAAGGTGTCAAACAAAACATGATAAAAACTACTAATATACCAAGTAAGTATAATTTTATTGTAGACTAGCTTCTGCCACCGGCTTGGTCCGCGTGCTCGTGGGATATAAAGACCATAATCTACCCCTATTCTAAATTTCATCTCGATCTCTTCGTTTTGTAGTGAGGTTCACTGTCCAGTGACACATGTACGCTGGTATCGTCATGAGCTAATGTTGACATATAAACAGTGACTCGTGTAGTGTAGAGATTGTCCAGCCAACTGATGGTAGCGAGGTTCACTGTCCAGTGACACACGTACGCTGGTATCGTCATGAGCTAATGTTGACATATAAACAGTGACTCGTGTAGTGTAGAGATTGTCCAGCCAACTGATGGTAGCGAGGTTCATTGTCCAGTGACACACGTCCGCTGGTATCGCCATGAGCTAATGTTGACATGTAAACAGTGACTCGTGTAGTATAGAGATTGTCCAGTCAACTGATGGTAGTGAGGTTCACTGTCCAGTGACACACGTACGCCGGTATCGCCATGAGCTAATGTTGACATGTAAACAGTGACTCGTGTAATGTAGATGTCCAGTCAACTGATGGTAGCGAGGTTCACTGTCCAGTGACACACGTACGCCGGTATCGCCATGAGCTAATGTTGACATGTAAACAGTGACTCGTGTAATGTAGATGTCCAGTCAACTGATGGTAGCGAGGTTCACTGTCCAGTGACACACGTACGCCGGTATCGCCATGAGCTAATGTTGACATGTAAACAGTGACTCGTGTAATGTAGATGTCCAGTCAACTGATGGTAGCGAGGTTCACTGTCCAGTGACACACGTACGCCGGTATCGCCATGAGCTAATGTTGACATGTAAACAGTGACTCGTGTAATGTAGATGTCCAGTCAACTGATGGTAGCGAGGTTCACTGTCCAGTGACACACGTACGCCGGTATCGCCATGAGCTAATGTTGACATGTAAACAGTGACTCGTGTAATGTAGATGTCCAGTCAACTGATGGTAGCGAGGTTCACTGTCCAGTGACACACGTACGCCGGTATCGCCATGAGCTAATGTTGACATGTAAACAGTGACTCGTGTAATGTAGATGTCCAGTCAACTGATGGTAGCGAGGTTCACTGTCCAGTGACACACGTACGCTGGTATCGTCATGAGCTAATGTTGATATTTTGTTGCAGGATTTTTGAAGAAACCGGCGCCAAAAGTGTAGGAATAATTTTAATTTTGTAACAGTGTGCCTTTAATAAATTGTATTATAAGTTACTAATTTGTGTAAAATAAAACTAAGTTTTCTTAATATTAAAAATGCTTTTTATTCATTATTCTATATTTATACAGCAAGATTAAGATTATAGTATTATTAATATCTTATATTATTATCGCCTCGTTTTCGTTTCAAGGTCTAAATTGGAATCTACAAAAGTATATCAAAAAGCGTGTCCTAATAAGGAATAAATCAAATACAATATTCGTATACAAACAATAAGATGACGCGGTTAAAATTGTACAAAAAAAAACAAACTTTCCAAAAATATCAAATAGTAAATCTAATTTTGAATGTCAAAATTCATTTATCAATAAATAGATGAAGTTTATGCGAATTCTTCGCAAAAAATATTATGTAAAAATAAAATGAATCGATTTTATAATCGAATGATTATTGACGCAGTACAATAATGTGTTGAAAAACCTATTAATGATGTCTCAGTAAATTGCATTTAAACGCCAAACTCTATTATGATATAGGACGGTTAACGAGCAGACGGATCACCTGATGGTAAGCAATCAGCGTCGCCCGTGGACACCTGGAACACCAGAGGCATTACAAGTGCGTTACCGGTCTTAGGGGCTTAGGAATTTGGGGAATGTCGGGGATTTTGGGATTAGGGAAATAGGTGGTTGGTGTTTAGTCACTGCATGTACGGCATACTGTGAGGTCAGCCGAGCACGATGGTCGTGGATCACCCCAGCCGAGCCAACAGCAGTGCCGAAGCATGGGGAGATCACTAGTTAGACGCGTCATGCAAAAACGATGATAAACAACCGTACTCAGAAACATTTAATTATTACTTAAACTATTCCTTGTAGTAATAGTTTAGAACGGAAAACAATCGCTAAGGACTGGGTTAAAGTGTCGTGGTCCGTGGTGTCCCAGAGGGTTAAGACACTCGCTTCTGATGCCTAATGCATACCAATATGACGTTTTCCGAATTATAAGTACTTTCCAAGATAATTTAGACACCTCTGACAAACGGTGAAGGAAATATCATGAGGAAACCTGGACTTATAATTTCTAATTATAAGTTTGAGATCGCCAACCTGCATTGAGCTAGCGAGGTGATTAATGCTCAAACCTTCTCCGTGTGAGAGGCCTTTGGTCAGCAGTGGCCACTTATATGACCGAGCCACTGGGCCACTTAAATGACCGAGTACGGTTGGAAAGAGATGTAAAGATCATCATTAACAGTTTTTTCATCACTTTTGATAAAACTGATGTTCTATTCAAGGTCAACCAAGTCATTTAATATGCAGGTAAGAGAATAAAGATTGATTCAGTACAGAGACAGTAGCCATTGGTTCACTATCTGTGCCTAAAAGATGGCCGTTAAAAAGCATAGCAGTTTAATATAACAATGGCTACTGTCTACTGAATCAATTTTTATTTTCTTATCTGAGGCTATAGCCAAATGCCATTTAGCGCTTGTCTAGGTACATGTAGAATAGAAAACCAAATTATATGGATTGACGTAAATTTTGACACTTGTCAATGTCATCCACATACATTTAGTTTTGTACTCTCTCTGTAGACAAGCGCTAAAGTGGGGTTTGGCTAAAGGCACTCTATATACTTAATGACTTATCTGGCTTATCATTGATGTTATATTTTATGCGTATTTTAACTTATATCTAGTTTTCATTTAACATGTCATTATTATGGAATTATGGTCGGATTTAATACAGTTTTTGATTAAATTATTATTATTCTAAAAATTGGCCAGTCATAATTTTTGACGCGAAAAATAATTCGTTTATTAAAACGGCTCCAGGAATGGATAGTTTTTGTGTGTCTCGCCCATTCTGAAAATTAAAAAAAGCTGTGTTAATTAATGTACCTCCATAATTTACATACAGAAAAAAGTAGGCGATTACAGTTATACTTAAAGTTATGACGTCATAACTTTATATATAACTGTAACCGCTGTCAAATAGTTTAACTGACGTCAGTTAACAATTTGTCAAATGGGTACTTTCCTTAATCAAAATAAATTATTTCGACTGTTCAATACAATAAAATATTAAAAAATAATCACACTTATATTAATTGATTTTATGACCAACTTAATTTTAGTATTTTTCCAGCAAATTTTTAAGAAATAAGTACGCTGTTTGGCAAATTAGTAAGATGCGACGGTTTATGATTTAATAGATCGATAGAAAATGCCAACCCAAAATATCACCCCCCTATCACATGGGACTCATAACATAAATAGTGAAAAGTGGGTGTTACGTTGTACAGTGGCATAATGTGTACCTCTGCCTGCCCCTTCGGGGACAAAAGGCTTAATGTTATATGCTGTAGAAAATACCAAAATTACCCGTTAAAAGTAAAGGTCCTCTTGTTTTTGTTCAAAGCGTGTAATGCGTCAATTTTTGGTTTGTCCAGGTCAAACGTCAAAGCCTGGAGATTGTCCCATAAGTGGGCAGCACATGATGCCTTCACCACGACATTGTGACCACTGTCGATTTGATATCTGGAAGGAAAGAAAGGAAATTAAGAATATTTTGGGACGAATTTTAAAAAAAAACTATCACCCGTCAATCTAGTGACATTGGTTTTGAATAGGTTATATATCTATACTAATATTATAAAGATGAAGAGTTTGTTTTTTTCGTTTGTTTGTTTGTTTGTTTGTTTGAACGCGCTAATCTCCGAAACTACTGGTCCGATTTGAAAAATTCTTTTTGTGTTGGGTAGCCCATTTATCGAGGAAGGCTATAAAATATCATGCTGTTATTAATAGGCGCCCATTCCTTCGACGATCGTCAAACTAAATGTATTTTAAGCCTTTGACTGCCGACAGAAAACTGCTGAAGGCAAATCCTCCGCTAACGGAGGTCACCGGTGACCTACGCGGCGGTTAACGTGTTAAACTGAAAACTAGATCGTGACCTGGATCGTAAAAAGAAGAGCACTTCTGTTATTGCTTAGGAGATACAGGAAAAACAAAGAAGATTTTAGGAAGATAAGATTTTGATGCGCGATGCCAATTGATTCGCAAGTTCTTGCGATGCGTAGAGGGAGCTAGCACATTTTTGCGGTGCGACGTCGCATCGCAGTTTTGTCTACGAGCCCTAATTAAACGGCCGAATCCATTTGGCTAATTTTGCTCTTGGAATGTTCGTGGAAGTCCAGGGGAGGATTAATGGGTGAGAAAAAAAATGGTTAGGCAGTAACTACAAAGTCTGCCGGATCAGCTAGTGCTAAATAAATTTAAATTAAATGCTTTTTAATTTAAATTGACGTTCCATAGTCTCTGCCTGTGCGGGTCTGCGGACGGCGAGCAAGGGTAGTTCGCTGTCCGACCAATTCCTTTGAAGTGCAGGAGTAGGAACGGGGTGGTTTTTAGTCAGTAAGAGTCTGACACTCCCTCTCGCTTAACCCAAGGCGGGAGAAGTCACCGGATGATTCACTCCCTTCAAAAAAAAAAAATCATAGTGTCTGCCTACCCCCATGGGATACAGGCGTGAAGTTATGTATGTATATGTACCTATATATGTATTTAAAACCATTTTAAAGCAAACTTATGCAACTAAACATTTATGGTAATGCAAACTAGACATGTATACAAAATTTCAGCTCAATCGGTTGAAGATATCTGCTTCAAAATTCATTTACAAGATTCCACTTCAAAATAATTGCAAATTAAATAAAAGCTTATAAAATTGGTTGCCGTACCTAATCAAAAGCTGTGCAGGACTGACTCCGAGTCCTGACGCCATCACCTTCACCAGAGGGTCATCAATGACGGCAAATGTGGAATTTTTGTACTCTGCCGGTGTGCCCTGGAAATAAAGGCAAGAACAAGGACCTTGAAACGAAGGCAGACATAGTCTCTTGAGACAACGAGTGTGGCACTATCTTTTATTGTCTTTTTTTATCTTTTATTTATACTACATCGTGTCTGGGGAATTGGGCCTCCGGTAACCTCACTCACACGACGAAACGCAACGCAAGCGTTGTTTCACGTCGGTTTTCTGCTCGGCCGAAGCATGGCTTTCCCACACTAGTTAGAAAAAGCAAGCATTTTTCGGAGAATCCGAAAATCAAAAGAAATACCATAATTGTGTACCTTGGATCCTAAAACGCCATAGCAACTTAGCTGAATGTTCTTTTCTCTGCAGAAGGCATCCAACCGCTGCTGAGTTAGGTATGGGTGGCACTCCACCTGAAATTGAAATAATGAAATTTTTAAACAAACAGTGAATAGAAACATCGTGAGAAAACATGGCATTTTATAATTTCCAATGGAAAACAATAATGGTTCCGAAAAACAAATTAATCTCCAGCGATCTGTGGCCGACTATAAAAATGGATCTTCGAATAACAAAACTAAACTTCCGAATAGAATATTGAACCTCCGACAAAATTACTAAGTTACCGACAACAGACGTTTTAGGTTATGTTAGGTTAGTATTGTAACAATAAACAGTCATGTAAAGTAGTCGGAAAGTTAGTATTGAAGGCAGTAGATTTAATATTTTCAGTAAGGACAATTCTTCTTTTCTTGTCGGAGCTTTTATTACTACCCATTTACAATTATAAGTTTGATATTAACATAACATCACATATATCCCCAAAAGGGTAGGCAGAGGTGCACATTACGGCACTCAATGCCACTGTACAATGTAACTGTACTGCCGCGAAACGTGTTACGGGTTTGATTCGAGCACGGAGCAACTATGTGTGATCCACAAATTGTTGTTCCGGGTTTGAGGGTCATGGTGTAATGTGTGTTATGGCTTTTTGTGTGTACACTCGGCTACACATCGAGCTTTACATAACCAGTATAAACTGAACGTTAAATGTGCGGAAAGATGCGACGCGACACCAGGATAAACTGGTTTTGTATAGATTGATGTGTGGCCATGTACCTATATCCTTGTTGTGTGTCGTAGCGTAATAAATGGCTTTTCTTTTATCTTTTCTTTCTTCAATGTGTATGTGAAATTGTATGTTTGTAAACGTACACACGATACAGGAGACAATCCTATTGTGGGCCATTTCTTCAACGTGGCCTACTCGGACAGTGGCCTCTTTGGTTTTGTACTCTCTGTGCCTAAGGATGGGGCCAACACTGTAAGTACTTACAATAGCACTGACATAAATTCGGTACGTGTCATGTTCGTGAACGGGCACCGTCAATTGGGACTGGTCAGCTCCAGACTGTATGATTTTATTGTCCCCAACGTTATTTTCTTTTTCAATCTTTTCGACTGGATTTAGATATTGCATTGTTCTCACACAATCGAACCAACAAAACTATGTAACTAGAGAATTGTATTGTAAACCTGATTGTAAAAGAGTAACCTATGTAGTTTCTTGCTCGTTCTTCTCCATAGGAATCAACACATTGGAATGAGCAACTCGTTTCACTTCAAAATTTTTGTTGTTGACGTTCAAAAGTGCCTTCCTGGTCTAATTGAAATAAATGATTTTGACTTTGACTACCTGGTTGACAACTGGTGGTATCTTCCCCTTGTCCAGGATCCGTTGGAGTTGCACAGAGTTGAAGTTGCTGACTCCGATGGTCTTCGCCAGACCCTTCCTGACGAGGCCCTCCATACCGTACCAGGCGTCTAAATAGTCGTATTCCGAGAACTGGACTACTGATGCGATCTTGGGAATAGGATCTGGGCCTTCCTGTTGAAAAATATGAGAAATTTGATAAACTCCTAATCCCCAAAAGGCCGGTAACGCAGTTGTAACGCCTCTGGTGTTCCAGGTGTCCATGGGCGACGCCGTTTGCTTACCATCAGGTGATCCGGCTGCTCGTTTACCGGCTTATGCCATAAAAAAAATGTGGTAGGTCAAACGAATTAAACGTAAAAAGTATTTAAATTAAATCCTTTACCTAAAATAACATTACATAACATTGCGCCTTTTATCCCCGAAGGGGTAGGCAGACGTGAACATTATCTAAGGTACTTAATGCCACTGTACAATGTAACACCCACTTTTCACTATTTATGTTATGAGTCCCATGTAATAGGGGGCGACCGGGTGAGCCTATTGTCCTATACCGGGCACAATTATAGACCCCATGCTACTACTAACAATAAAAAAAACCAATAATACTTTACCCGACCCGGGAATTGAACCCGAGACACCTTATTTTCTTACGGAAACGAATAGTTTTAAAAATAATTATACTGATTTGAAATATCGCATGACGTCACTTTTGAGTACGATTTATACTCCAAAATGACGTAGCTACCTCCCACTCCTAAACTTTGATTCGATTTATCTAAGTATTGTTTTCTTATACGATAAAATAAAAAATACGTGTCTAATATTTTTTCATTACCTAAATGACGGACTAATTAGATTTTTAATTTTCATACCCTGTCATCGTCCCTATTGAAAAGCGAAATGAATGTGACCTATGTCGTGGTGGCCTGGAGGTTTAAGAAGTTTGCTTCTCATGCTTGGGGGTATGGGTTCCTACTAACGGCAAGTACCAATGTGACTTTTTCCGAGTTATATGTACTTTCTAAGATTATCTAGACACCACTGACAAACGGTGAAGGAAAACATCGTGAGGAAACCTAGGCTCATAATTTCTAATTATAAGTTTGAAATCGCCAATCTGCATTGAGTAAGCGTGGTGATTAATGCTCAAACCTTCTCCGTGTGAGAAGAGGCCTTTGGTCATCGGTGGCTACTTATAGGCGGTTGATGTGATATGAATGTGTGATGAATTGAAATCGTAAATGAGCTTACCTTAAAAGACATAGGGTTATGTATCATATACAGGTCAAAGTACGTGATGCCCAAGGCTTCCAAGGAGTCCTTACAGGCTTTCTCCACCAGGTCAGTCTTATGGAAGGTACTCCATAACTTGCCCATTATGAACAGCTGTTCCCTGTTTGAAGAAATGGAGAAACATTATTGATTTTCAAGTTTTGCTTTGCATAGATGGCGCCACTAGAGTTAATGGACCTATCAGTTTGTTTTTTTTAATATTAGTTTGTTTTGTATTACTTGGTGTAGTCAGGACGTTTAGGACTATCAGATAAATAAGAGTAGAATTTAACTTAATGTAAGTTAATGTTGTACAGCAATATAACTTGCTGTACTACAAAATATAATGAGGGGTTTACAGTGGGAAGGGAAAGGAATAAATGTAAACGGCAAGTTTCTCAGCAACTTAAGATTTGCCGACGACATAGTCCTTTTCTCGACGTCATCAAAACAACTTGAAGAAATGCTTACAGATTTGAGTGACTCTAGCAATACCATTGGTCTACAACTAAACACTTCTAAGACTAAAGTAGCTACAAACAGTATACAAACCCCCATTACAGTAAACCAAACACCAATAGAATATGTCGACAGCTACATTTATTTAGGTAAGCTCATTTCATTTAAAAACACACGGCATAAAGATGAACTAAGCAGAAGAATTAATATATCTTGGAAAAAGTTCTGGAGCCTGAAAGAAACATTAAAATCAAAACTTCCACTACATCTTAAGAAAAAAGTCATGGACTCATGTATACTACCATGCCTGACATACGGAGCACAGACATGGATCTACAATAAATACACGAAAACAAAGATACGTACATGCCAGCGCTCTATGGAGAGAAGCATCTTAGGCCTAAAGATCAAAGATAAACAGAGAAGCACTGTTATTAGACACAAAACCAAAATTATAAATGCCATAACGCATGCACTGCGGTTGAAGTGGAAATGGGCTGGCCACATGATACGAACGAAGGGTGAACGATGGACGAAACTCGTCACAATATGGAAAGGTCCAACAGGCAAGAGAGCTAGAGGCAGACCCACAGACCGCTGGACCGATGACCTTCGAAAGGTAGCAGGAGACAACTGGATGGATACAGCAAGAGATAGAGTACATTGGAAACGGTTGGAGGAGGCCTATACCCGAGAGGGACCATGACTTAATATTAAGATATTAAATTAAACATTATTACTTTTTAAACTTTATATCTGGAATGAGTCAAACTTTTTTATATTTTGAAACACTTAATATGTAATAGGATTAGGTCAAGGAAATAAATAAAGGCTTATTATTATTATTATTATTAAGTTAATGTTAGGGAATGATGGGTCTGACATGATCTTTATGTGATCTAAAGACTCTAAATAAATAAAGATATAAACAAAAAAAAGGACCATCAGATGATTATTATAGATTATTTTGGTTAGTAAGTAGTTTTAATTAATTAGTTTATGTTTTCATTGTCTACTTCTAGTTTGTTTTTTTTTTGTTGTTACACACTGTGTCATATGATGTATTTATTTCTCCTCTCGCAGGGCTGCAGGAAAAAATCCCATAAGGGATATGCAGTACCTATGTACCTCTGTTTTGTTATATATATTTTTTTTCTGTGTATCGTCTGTGTTTTGTACAGTCAAAGGTCAAAAGTCCACTGCCACCGTAAGACTACTATCGGTTGCGCTGCAGCGCTTAGGTATACACACACACACACACGCATATTTTTATCCGTGTGCGTACGCGTGCGTGTGTTTATGCGTACGCACGCGTTTTTATGCACATTAATATTATTATGAAAATACTTACGCATTGCCGTGTGAACATCACTCACGGTGGCAGTGGACTTTTGACCTTTGACTGTACATAAATAAATAAATAAATAAATGGTAATTAAGCAATGAATTGTTTAGAAATTTTTACGTTATTTCAAATGGCAATGCCAATTATTGGTTACAATTATGTTATATATGAATTTTTTTGTTACTTTCAGCAGTCTTTAGATTTACATTTCGGCGTCAACTCTGAATAGGATTTGGTTTAACCCGTCGTGTGTCTAGACGTGGATCCACGCGAGACACAATCTATTTTATATTGTGTCTCATATACGGGCATTCAAACGGTTATTGTCAGTTTTGTACTTACAGATACTGTCTCCCCCAATCCACTCCTTAGTAGTCCTCCTTAGCTCCTTTATTCTTACAAAGCCAACTGCTTGGTTAGGTCAGTTTTAAAGCTTCTATTAGGATAGTTTCCTTTATTTTATTTTAATATCCGTCTGGTAGATTATTTTAAAATATTAGACACGTATTTTTTTTTCGCACACTATTAAATGCTTTCGACTATATATTGATTTGAAATGTCATGTGACGTCACAGCGTGCTACAAAATGTAGCACGTTGTGACGTAGCTACCTCCCACTTCTAAACTTAACTCCATTTTATATAAGTATTGTAACTATATACGAGAAAATAAAAAAATACGTGTCTGATACTTTTTCATTATCTAACTGACGGACTAATTAGTTTTTTAATTTTCTACCCTGGAAACTACCCTATTCTGAGTTCCTAACTAACTAAATTGAACTTACCTGGTCACAGTGCCATCATCAATCTTAGCTTGAATAGCTTCGCCGACGTCTTTCTCATTGCCATAGATGTAAGCTGTATCTATAGCACGGTAACCCATATCGATGGCAGCGCCAATTATATGTTTTAGAAGACGCGCGTCCAGCTACAAAGAAAATAGGATTTCTTTAAAAGCACCGTCAATCGATGGGCTTGCATGAAGCGATTGATGAATGTAGATGAAGCGAAAGAGGTATGTTAGAATCTTGGCGTATAGCATTCTATTGTCTCTATATGTCGCGGAGAACCTAACGGGTAACCGGGGCTCCAGCTCGACGTGCAGGAGAAGGAACGGGGTGGTTTATAGTCAGTAAGAGTCTAACACTCCCTCCCGCCTCACCCAGGCGGGAGCAGTCATTCGATGATTTCAAATTTCCACCCTTAAAAAAAAAATGGTCTCTATATACAGGAGTGACGCTGTGTTATAAATATGATATTCTCTCACGCTCCTGTGTCGTGGGTGCGTTTACAAATATACAAGTTCACATACACATCACACACAGACAAGTAAACAACAATCTGTGGGTCACACAAAGACATATTCCATGCATCCAGCGTCACAGTGCCGGCTTAAGGGCCACTGACACCCCGGGCGAAAATATTGTGGCGCCCACTTGAGGGAAGCAATATCAAGTATTTTTTTGCCGATCCTAAGTAAAATTGTATTTAAGAATTTCATCTTTCCTTTAGCGTTACCCTGAGCTAACGACGCGGACGTAGAAAGTCTTGTAGCTGCTCTTTTTTTATATACATATATATTTTTCTTAATATTTTAATTTTTTTTTTACATTTTATGTTTTTAAATTTATTTTTACCATTTATATTTGTTTTACATTTTTATTATTTTTTAATAAGTATTTTTATTCCTTTTGATTATTTTTGTCACTCACAAATTTTTTCAAATTTCTTTTCAAATTTGAATGTCGTCTCGCACATTTTTTTTTTAGTTTTCATTTAGATTGAACATTTTTAAATATAAAAAATATGCGTATGCACAGTTCTGAGGGTTTGCACCAGGAGAGGCAAGAGACTCTAACTTCAGACCTTGGCACCCCATCGCCCCATCACGCCCCCCCCCCCCCCTAACGCCGGCTTTGCTGTGACATGTTGCGCGGCGGCCAGTTGTTGTAATTGCGCCAATCGTGCAGTTCACTCAGAGAAAGTCCAGAAAGCAATGAAGATCAAGCTCAGAAGCGTGCTATTATAGAGAGGTCTGTGTCTAAGATCGAGCTGATGATGAAGTTGCTATGATGATAAAAGAAAACCGTATGTTTTCGGCATTGCTGGGCCGGCTCGACCGGAGTAATACCACGGCTTTATAGGGTACCGAAGGTTACCACAGCAATCCCCTATCCGAAAAGGTGTCCATGTCCACAGGGGCGATATCACCTACCGTCTGAATAAAGAAAATAAGTTTTTGTTAAAAAATAAAATTATTCAGTCAAGCGTGTCGTAATATTGTTCTCACATAGGTATATGTACAATATTCGAATTATGTATCAGAGAGATTATAAAACATATAGTCAGAATTTTAATTCGATTCCAGATTTGACATTAGCTACTGTCATTTTGTGAAATAATGATACCACATAATTATAATAGTGTAGTGATGAACACATAAATCGATAAACAATCAGTGTGTGTGTTTTATAATACCTAAATGTTACAGAAAGTGACAGGATAGCGATAGCGATGACGGCGACAATTTATAAAATAAATTATTACCATACCTCTATAAAACAAATAGATGTATTCTATCTGTTTTATTTGTCATGTTCCTTCATGATTACATTTTTTTATTTATTTCACACACAATTATAAAAGAAAAGTGTCAGATCGTTAATTAATCGTCAAAACTAAATTATCGGTCAGAAATATTTAATTTCCTGATATACTTAGTTTACGAGAGTAAAATTATAAACGAGAAGAATCGATCCAGAAATATTCCATTCCCTTAACGAATAATTTCACAACACACTATTTAGTACTCGTCATAACGTTGCAACACTGAAATTGTCAAATCTGGAATAGAATTAAAATTCCGAGTATAGGTATTATTTTTAAAAAAGTAACTAAAGGAGTTTCTTGCTCGTTATTCTCAATTCGAATCTACATTTTGGAATGAGCGCCTAGCTTGACTAACGGACAGACTGACAGATTATTATTTATTTTATATTTGTTGACGTTTCAAAAGTACCAAATCATGGTTTAATTAAAGTAAATGTTTTTGAGTTTGATTTTAGTATTGGAAAATTTAAAACCATCCGCAATATTGCCAAGTAGCCTCGAAACGAGCTTGAGACCTCTGTTTCGGCAGTGGTCCTTCCGTTCTATTATTTTTGTGTGGTACGACAACACTCCTTACACTTTCTTTTCAAAAGCCACCCCTAAAGTCTTCCCTTCTCTTTGTCATATAAAAATTGAAAGTGAAAAAGATTTTTATGTGCGTATTTTTTATATTTTTAATGCATTGTATCTTCAAGGCCCGAATGAATAGTTGGCTATGTGCAAAGCGAGTAGTGGCGGACAGATAACGACCGCAGCGCACAACACGGTAGAAATTGGAAACAAATGCGGATGATCAGCTGTCAAATGTGTTGATTGCAATACAAAATCAAAGCAAAGAAATGGATCATGGCTCGTATTAAGTAGCTCTGGCAGTTATGTCGCAGTTCTTTCACATTTCTTACAAGCTCGGCTAATACTAATTTATTGCCTTTTGTCTCAGTTTGTGGTTAGAAACTAATATTATGTGTAATAGTTTCAAACCCGGTTTTTATTATTATATTCATTTTACAGTAAAACTATTGAATAAATTACACTTTAATAATGTCAACAATACTATTTTAATTTTTGGTTTTATTTATATTCGCAAAGAAAATTATAATGTTTATATTGTTATTATTTGACAGCTTCCGCAAATGTTGTAAACGCTATGCGTCGCCACCGTCGTGCAGGTGCACATAGCCGATAGGTCGACGGGCTAAACGTTAAAAAAACCACAATAAATTAAAAATGAACTTACCAAAGCCGTGCCCACTGCCAAGACAGGCATCTTGGTCCCATCACTCAGCGCGACGGAGTTCATATTATCCATCTTGCCAAACAGGACCTTCGCTGACTGAAGATCTTTGATCTTCTTTAAATACACTTCTTCTGAAATCCCTGGCACCGGCTTCGCGACATCCGTCGGCGTCTCCGCGGTCGGAGGCTCCGGTTGTGGAGACGTTAGCTTACCCTGTAATTTTTGAGAGAAAATAACATTTAGATGGCTATTCTGCTCGACCAGAGTTATCACAGAGCTTCACAAAACAGTGAAGCCATGCTCCGGCTCGAATGTGTCAGCTCGATCGACGTAAAACCACGCGAGCGTTGTATTTCGCCACGTGAATGAGGTTACCGAACACCCATCCCCCTCAAAAGGCCAGTATTGCACTTTTAGCCTCCATTCCTTAAAGGTCCGACTACGTACTTGTAATTTTTTTGGTGACGCGAGTGTTCATGGGTGGCACGATTGCTTACAATCAGGTGATCTAACTGCTCGAGTGTCGACGCCGCCTTATCCCACACAAAATTTGAGCGTACGGCGCGTCCCGCTCCGCGCTCGCCTCAAAGAGTCATCAGACCGCTTTGAGGTGCACGCGGAACGCGACGTTGGTTGCAGACCCGCACTTTCGGTGGCCGGAGATCGTGCCGCGAGCTCCGACGCCCGAAGTGTCTCTCGCGCTACGGCTAGGGCATGCGGAGGTTCGTTCACTGACGCGTCCCGCCTCCTCCATGTCCAAGGCTAATGTTAATAGTGATGATGTCTAGATATCAATTCCTTACTTAAATATTGATTTTGCTAGTTCAACCAGCGTTTATGCCCAGTTGTGTGTGAAATACAAGTACTTAAGTCATTAAACATGACCATTTTCTAACGTGTTACATCTAGGGAACCCCCGCAGTGTTTGAGTGACTCATTGTGCGAAATGTGTCACTAGCTGACCCGGCTAACTTCGTACCATTTCAATTATATTTTAAACCTTCAAATTTAAAAACAAAATCCTTAGGTAATGAAAAAATATTAGACACGTATTTTTTTATTTTGTCGTATAATAAAATAATACTTAGATAAAACGAATCAAAGTTTAAAAGTGGGGGCTAAAACGTCATTTCTACGTATAAAATGTACCTACATAGAAGTGACGTCACGCCGTCACGCGACATTTAAAATAAATATATCGTCGAAAGTATTCGTTTCTGTAAGAAAATAAAAAATACGTGTGTAATGATTTAAAATAATCTACCAGACGGACATTAAAATAAAAATTAGGGATCTACCCTATTCTCTATACATAGGTATACATAGTTATTTACATAGGTATACATAGTTTCCGTGGACTTCTTCAAATAAATCAAGACTCAAAATTAACCAAATCAGTCCAGTCGTTCTTGAGATTTAGCGAGACCAATGAATGACCAACAATTTCATCTATACGTCTATTATATACATAACTAGCGACCCGCCCCGGCTTCGCCCGGGTGCAATATGCATGTATTATACATACAAACCTTCCTTAAGAATCACTCTATCTATTAAAAAAAACCGCATCAAAATCCGTTGCGTAGTTTTAAAGATCTAAGCATACATACGGACATACAGCGAAAGCGACTTTGTTTTATACTATGTATTGATTATTGATAAGTTATGTTCAAAAAGTAAGTCAAGGAAGGTCAAAACTGTACACTGAATATTTTTTTTAAAGAATGCTTTGGGCCTGATCTGCAATCGATACCAAAGCCAAAAATATAGATTTCACACTTTTGTCTGTTTGTCTGTATGTACTTATGTCCGGGATGAACTCAAAAAATGCTGCATGGACTTACTTTAAATTTTTCATGAATATTACTAACAAGTCGGGTCAACATATAGGCTGCATATTATCATGCAGACCTACGGGGGAGGAGCTGTGAAGAACTATCCAAAGTCACTATTCCACGTGGACGTAGATCGATAACATAACATAACATAACATCACGCCTTTTATCCCCGAAGGGGTAGGCAAAGGTGCACATTTCGGCACTTACTGCCACTGTACAATGTAACACCCACTTTTCACTATATATGTTATAAGTCCCACGTAATAGGGGGTGAGCCTATTGCCATATATGGCACATTTCCAGACTCCGTGCTACTACTGAGATTTTTAAAAAACCTTGTAATACTTTGCCAGACCCGAGAGTCGAACCCGAGACCCCTTGGAGGCAGTCAGTAGATCACTATTATACTAGATTTTGTAAATAAAAAGGTAGATACATATTACATATATACAGATTTACCTACCTAATTTAAATGTTTTTAAAACATGCAAATACCTCCGAAACAAATATTTAATTTCGTCGCAATAGATTCAAAGTCATTAGGACGGGTTTTTTAGTAGTACGAAGGTCACTACGTCATCTAACTATAAATAAACGGGTGTATTGTAATAAGGTACGTAGCAGGTCGTTGATCTTTTCAGGAAGTACAAATTGGCATAACAAAGTAGTAAATATTTGTGTCATAATATATGCTTAAAACATTATGTAAGTAGACGCGTCTCAAAGAGCCGTCAGACCACCACGGATGGGGCCCAATAGGGCTGATGCCGATACGGAGCCGCGGAGAACTTAACGGGTTACCGGGGCTCCGGCTCGACGTGCAGGAGAAGGGACGGGGTGGTTTTTAGTCAGTAAGAGTCTGACACTCCCTTCCGCCTCACCTAGGCGGGAGAAGTCATTCGATTATTTTCCCCCCTAAAAAAAGTAGGTATTTATTTATTTAACTTCTGCCTCGTTGGCCGAGTGGTCGCAACTCGCAAGTGCGACTGCCGAGTAAGCGGTCTCGGGCTCGATTCCCAGGTCGGGCACAGGGTTTTTAAAAATTCTCAGTAGTAGCACGAAATCTGGAATTGTGCCCAGTATATGGCAATAGGCTCACCCCCTATTACATGGGACTCATAATATAAATAGTAAAAAGTGGGTGTTACATTGTACAGTGGCATTAAGTGCCGTTATGTGCACCTCTGCCCACGCCTTCGGGGGTAAAAGTGTCATGGGAAGTAACGAGGAAAGGAGGCGGAGACATAGTGTGGCAACATTCCTCGTCAAGCCACACGTCATGCTCCTCGTCCTGCCCACTGCTCCCTATTTTGTCGGTTCTTGCGCGCGAGTCAAAGGGACCGGCAATACGAGGAGGCACCGAGGACCGGCAATAGGAGCGTCGCGATTGATTGCGCGGGTAGAGTAATGTGTGGACTGAGAGGTAAACTTCGCGGCAAATCATGGCAGCGCGATAAGTAGTACAAGGAGGATATTTTTTTTAAGCGGGGAAAATCATCGAATGACTGCTCCCGCCTGGGTGAGGCGGGAGGAAGTGTCAGACTTTTACTGACTAAAAACCACCCCGTTCCTTCTCCTGCACGTCGAGCCGGAGCCCCGGTTACCCGTTAGGTTCTCCGCGACTCCGAATAGTGCAAGGAGGATAGCCTGGCGGGCGCATACCTTTTTAAACTACAACTTGTCTATACCTACCCGCCTACAACGAATAAATTCCTCTTATGGAGGCCCAAAGTTCCAGCAGTGGACTGTCATGGGCCATTGATGATGATGATGATGATGATGATGATGATGATGAATGATGACTCTTCCCGCGGGTATCGTATACCCGACTAAGGTACTACGCATTTGACAGAGACCGGGCAGCAGCGCTCCCTGATAAACCTGTTCCTTAACCCAACAATTTTTCATAGGAAACTCCTAGTTAGAAAGAGTACATGATTATACGAATAAAATGTAAGTATTCAGTTAAATAATATAAAGATTGTTAACATGCGTCATGCGTTAGATGTTACCTAACATTTTATACTACTCCAGCGTCACAGAAAACCGACGTGAAACAACGCTTGCGTTGAGTTTCGTCGTGTTAGTGAGGTCCTTCAGGTTCATCCATAAATTACGTCACCCGAATTTCATGATTTTTTGCCCCTCTCCCCGTCCTTGTCACAACTAGTCACATTTGTGAGACCCCCCCCCTAGTATGACGTCACATTTTGCAGAATTACGTACGTTTGATTTGGTATTAATATTTTTTTTTGTTTTGTTTTTAAAATAAAACGTTGCCCCACACTAGGATTTTCTCCTGTGTCGTGGGTGCGTTTACAAACATACAAGTTCACATACACAATGACACCCAGACCCGAAACAACAATTTGTGGATCACACAAAGTGTTGTTCCGTGCGGGAATCGAACCCGCGACACGTTGCACGGCAGCCGGTTGCCCAGCCACCGCA